TTGAATCTGTGAAGATAACTTTGTTTTTTCACATCTCCCCGATGAACAAAGAATCCAAAAAACAGTCTTCATGAATGGAAGTACAGGGTGTGCATTTATCAACAGCTAAACTATATGAAAACATCTGTTTACAAACTCTCAAACAACTCGTGCAGTATAAGTCAAGTCTCATTTATCCAGTGCTCACCACACACATGCATCTTCACTCATGCGTCACTATTAAAACACTTCGACCAATATCATGATCACCTGTCAGTGTGGTGCAATATCATTTCCTCAGTCATGTGCAATACCACTTCTTGCTGTTATATCATATACAATATAACATTTATTATCAGGCACAGTCTTTTTTTCCACCATTTTAGTTCATTTTTAGTAACTCTTGTACTTAGCGTACTCCTATTGTTACTCTATTAGGCACTGTTTTTTTTTGTTGCTCCTAGAAAACACTTCTATCTTGTACATTTGCACATTCTGCCAGATATTTAATACTCAGTTGTTCTAAAACTGGGCCCAGTGAGTGACCCTGACCTGGGGAACCCACTGGTTGACTGGTTAATACTGGTTGTGAATTGTTAAATAGTGGTTACTGTTTTAAGACCTTTGCACTTTGAACTGCACCGTTGCACTTTACCTCACCTTGCTGCTGTTTTTACACTGTCTGCTGCCTCTTTTATCAAAGTTTTTATACTGCTGCTATATCTCTCACGCACTTTATTGTTTTTATACCTTACTGACGTCTTTTTATATTTATATTTATATACTGTCCTTTTTATTGTGCTGTTATCTTGCCAAGGGTACTACACGTAATTTCCTTGTGCAATGCACAATGACAATAAAGTCTTCTTCTTCTTCTTCTTCTTCTTCTTCTAAGTGTTACTGTAATTTGAAGCATTCTCTGGTACAAGCATTTCCTTTGGAATAAATTGACTTCTACTGAATTGAAATTGGCTGGAACTGAATTGAAATATGTCATAGGTTATTATAAAATTGTGTCAATATTGGTCCAAAATCTGTGCTGACTGATTGTTTTGAGTTTTTATCAACAGTGACTGGTACAACATGAGAAAAACCTTTAAACAGACACTCCAGACAAATGACAAACACACATAGTCTCATTTACTAGTACCTTGCCATTCAGACAGTTTGGGTTTCTGTTCTATTCTTCTCTGAAACTTCTGCTAGAGGTGAATGGTATTTTACAATACATTCTCACTCTGACCTCATCACATATTGATGTTTGGTCATGGACTTTCCACATCCAGATACAACATGCAACATGCATGGATGCTTTGGATGTTGAAGTTCTGGGAAGCCATATCAACTGCAGCCTGTTACATGGGGCGGCTGTGGCTCAGAGGTAGAGTGGAAGATCAACAGTTCGATCCCCGTCTCCTCCAGTCTGTATGAATGTGTGTGTGATTAGGTGAATGTGAATAAAAAGCGCTTTGAGTGGTCGGATGTCTAGAAAGGCGCTATACAAGTGCAGGTCCATTTACCATTTACATTCATCATCTTCTTTCAAAATACACTTCTGTTTTCACAGGAAATGTACAGTTTACATACAGTCTCTTGTGTGGTTGGGTTTAGGCGACAAAAGCACAAAAAAGAACAGGGTTTGGCTTTATAATCTTATGGAACGCGAACACCGCTCTCCCTGGTGAAAGTCGTGCCCATGTTTAAGGACGGCTTTTTTTGTCTGTGTCTGATGCTGCAAGTCACTGCCCAAGCACTGGCTTTCAACGACTTTGGAGTGAGACAGGGTTGTGTTTTACTTGTACTCACCAGGGCTATGAAAAATATGTTTGACAATGTTCTAATTCCTTGTACAATAAACAGACAAATAGGCCTAAAATCCCAAATTTTACCAAACTAAAGCAACACCAACAAAAGAAACAAGTGTTTGATTACATTTACTGTAGAATATTCTGTAGCATAATGGCTCTAAAAGACCACAAGGTCAACAAAGATTTGCTCAAGTTTTGCTCCTTAAATACCTGTGTTGGCTCATCTTATTTGGGCTTTGCATGAAACAACCTCTAAATATGTATTATAAAAAAATCAACAGGATAAAATCACCAGAATAGATTAAATAGTACACTTTTAAACTGAGAAGTAAATAAATAAACAATGTCACTCTGTTAGATAACAGGTACCTTTAGTCCAGTGTTGACAAAGTGATAACACAATTTAAGACTAAACACAGAATAGTACAATACTTTAATAGATACTGAATATTGATGTTGGTGATTTCTTCTTGTGGGGAAGAGTGATTTCACTGTTTTCTGTGAATGGCAGCTGTGGGGCGGGTCTTCATCCTCAACAGCTCTGGGACTGGTCGATTGCTGTCCTGGTAAAAGTCCAATCCTGTGATCCACTCAACATCTCTGACTCGTGACTGATGGAACCACATGAGATCTTCAACCCAGTGAGATTCGGGTTGTGTACTCTGTCAAAGTAAAAAAGAAAGTGACAAAACAAATTAATGCCACGGTTCTCACCTCCTGTCTAAGGCTGTAACTCAGTAACTGCTCGGGTCTTAAGCCCA